TAAACTCCCCTAAAAGAGGAAGGCTGATGTCAAGTCTTCGAGAGCTCAAGCCTGATGAGTTTGGAGATCGTGATATGCTTCGTAAAGTAGTCCGTGCGCGATCTAGCTCACTTGTTGAGAGGCAAAGAGATGCGGATGCTCCTTTTCGAAATTTGAGTCGTTTGTACCAGTCGAAGATTGGAAGTCGATCTGGGCAGTCTACTCATCCATCCAACCATCATGTTTCAATTGTTGAGTCACGAGCAGTCAAGCATGGAGTGGATTCATCGTCGCCAATTCCTTTGTTGATAGAGGCTAAGAAAGAAAGAGAGTCATTTGCCTGGGCGAAGGGCTCTTCTACAACGTCAGCAGCTGATCCCAAGGTGGACAAGTCCACCCTTGCAGAGGATGCAGGCGTGTCTGATCTGCTCAAGACGAACTTTCTGTCAAGTCCATCCACTTGTGCTGAGCTGGTTCATCAAATCCGTCAGGCTGGCGATCTTGGTACTTTCCCAAGTCTTTCCTTGGAAAAATAAAAGGAAGCAACATTTCTTCTCTTTCAAAAAGCAGGTGGGGGCAGACGTGGAGGATCAGGCAGGTGGAGCTGCTGAGAGTGTGGCTGATCAGACAGACGCTGAAGTGGCTGCAGATCAGGGATCTCCTGCTGGCGTCTCGGAGTAGATGAAGACTTCTTTATCTCTTTTTAGCTTTTGTAGTCTGCTTTCTCATTTAGAGTAATTGGTCTTGCCTGACCGTCTTCTTTTTGTTGAACTTTGGCCGATTGGTCACTTTACTAAGGAAATTTCAGTTATTTTTTCAACTTCAATTTGCATAGTGTCTTGTGAACTGCTTGAGTGTTTCTGGGTTGAGGCATGTTTTGCCTACGTCCGGAGACGTGTCGATGAGGGTGGCCCTTTTGGCCTATGTCCGGAGACGTGTCGATGAGAGTGACCCGTTTGGCCTACGTCCGAAGACGTGTCGATGATAGTGGGCCGTTTGGCCTACGTCCAGAGACGTGTCGATGATAGTGGTTCGTTTGGCCTACGTCCAGAGACGTGTCGATGATAGTGGTCCGTTTGGCCTACGTCCGGAGGCGTGTCGATGATAGTGGTTCGTTTGGCCTACGTCTGGGGACGTGTCGATGATAGTGGCCCGTTTGGCCTATGTCCGGGGACGTGTCGATGAGGGTGGCCAGTTTGGCCTACGTCCGGAGACGTGTCGATGTGTGACCTGTTTGGCATACATCCGGAGACGTGTCGATGATAGTGGTCCGTTTGGCCTATGTCCGGGGACGTGTTGATGTGTGTGACCCGTTTGGCCTACGTCCGAAGACGTGTCGATGATAGTGGTTCGTTTGGCCTACGTCCAGAGACGTGTCGATGTGTGTGACCCGTTTGGCCTACGTCCAGAGATGTGTCGATGTGTGACCCGTTTGACCTACGTCCGGAGACGTGTCGATGATAGTGGCCCGTTTGGCCTACGTCTGGGGGACGTGTCGATGTGTGTGACCCGTTTGGCCTACGTCCATAGACGTGTCGATGATAATTGCCCGTTTGGCCTACGTCCAAAGACGTGTCGATGTGTGTGACCCATTTGGCCTACGTCCAGAAACATGTCGATTGCTTTTGTGAATACTTCATTGGAAAGAAAAGCTTGAACTTGTATTGATGTCTGTGTGACTACATTGCCTTATCGAACAAAAAAGATGAGTGCATGAGTAACATCAAAAGTAACTTGTCTTCAATGGAGGTGAGGAAAGCTTGGTCGCCTGCTTAGAGCCGAGCTGATAAGTGAAGAGCTTCATGGATAGTACCCCTGGAGGTGATGGGTATTTCATTGTCATAGAACTTCCTTCCATTGAAAGATGATGAAAGGTTCGTCTTCCACAACTTGATAGCTAGTAATGGCTTAGGAGACGGAATTCACCTGCTAGATCTTTCTCTTTTGCCCCCTGGTGGTCAGTCTGGGCTTTTGGAGTCAGCTAGGATCGTGTTGATCCATATGACCTTTTTCGTGGAGGTTCATCGTTAGCTGCATCACAATCCTTGATTTGCTGGATAGCCCTCCTTACGATGAATTCTGTGCAATGGCCGTCTCTGACTAGATCTTCAAGGTGCCTTTTCCAGGCGAAACAGTCGTTTGTGTAATGACCATGCCCTTCATGGAATGTGCAGTATCTACTGGTATCCTTCTTGGTTGGGTTTCCCTTTAAAGGCGATGGTTTCTTCAACCAAGGCATGTCTTTTACTTGGGCCAAGATCTGGTGTATCGGGATAGTGAACTTGGTGTAGCTCTCCGCTGCTGAAGCACCTTCCTGAGGCTGTGATCTGCGCTTGCCTTTCTCTTGGCTTGCCTGCTCAGCTACTTGATCAACCTTCTTCGTGGCGATCCGGTCGTTGTCTCATAATGCGTAGCGCTCTGCTATAGCGAAGACTTCTACTAGTGTTTAGCGAGGATAAATGGTCAGCTCGCGATACAGCTCACATTCAGTTGGCAACCCCCTCTTGAAGGCAGATGACGCAATTTGGTCATCACATCCTACAATGTTTGCCTTATCCGCTTTGAACCTC